GGTAGCTGAAAAAAATTAAGAAATGGATGGAAGTTAATATCTTAAAATTATTTCATCGAGCTTTGATAGGCCTAGATATGTTTTTAAAGGATGGATTATATTAAAATAATCAAGTTAGCCTTATTTGGAGACTACAGTTTTTCGAATAACTGTCAATTAAGATTATAGTGATGATTTTAAAATAGGAGATAGAGATCTATTATTATAATATTATTAGAGTAGCATACCAGCGGAGAATGGATTTTAAATATCAACTTATTCATATTAATTTCCTACAAAAAAGAAATATAAGACAAATGATGATGATAAGATTTAATAATTGGGGGACGAATATTCAGAGTTGTTAATATAATGGCATTATTTTTAATATGAAATAGGAACACAAAATAATAATTAATAGCCAATATTTTCTATTTTTTTTCCTTCAATTGATTAAGTTCGCTCTTATACTTGGACTAAAACAATTTATCATTTCTCTGGTACTTAATTTTTTATTTTCTTGGGAGGGGATGATTATACTAAAAATTATTTAAGAGGATATGTTAGTGATATTTAATTTTCACTATTATGCTAAGCATAGATTGATACCTTTAAACCTACATGTCATTATTCTTGTTTAACATGTGATGGACCTACAAAAAATAACTGTTTAACTTGTCCTGATCAAAGTTTTAGATTACTTTTAAAAAAAGAGAAAACTTGCGCTTGTCAACAAAAATATGTTGATAAAGAAGGTGTTTAAGAATGCTAATCAGTAACCTAAGCATTCCCTCACATATAAATTTAAGAAGTTGAATTAGGTTGTTAGCAATAAGGTTATAGCAGCTGCAATTAGGATGAAATTGTATGTAACTTTGGTTATTTCGAATATTAAAATATATGTATACAATGGTATTTATCAATCATCTATATAAAGCCCTTATTATTTTGAAGTATATTCGGGTACTTCAATAACTTGTTTAGATTGTTTGGTATCACCAAAATAATTTAGTTCAACATTAACCTGTAAAATGAGTGCACAAACTTACTAATAAAATTCAAATTACTTGTTTTAAATTTATTAAAGAAAGGAAAATGATTATCTATTTCATAAAGTTTTGACAACTGCAAATGGATATAGTGAACTTTAATTGTGTCAAGGTAGTATTAATAAAGAAACTTGTAGAGATGGGTTCTATCTAGAAGATTAAGAATGTAAGCCTTGTGTATAGGGTTGTTTAACATGTATACATTCATTTGAATGTGAAGTTTGCTTTTCAAATTATTATTTAAGTTAGGATAAATTATGTGTGTTATGCTAAGATTGTTAAACTTGTTATGGATATAAAGATGGAACTTATACATGTAGTGGTTGTATTGGAAATTCAATAATAATTAGTTAGAAATGTGTGGCTTGTGGGGATTATTGTGAATAGTGCGATGAATCAAGATTCTGTAATTACTGTTATGGATCACCTTCTTAATATTATTTATCCATGGATGGAAAAAATTATTATTAATGGTAGTCTATTGCAAACAAGTTTAGACATCAATTTTAAAGTTGTAAATTAAAATTTTAGATAAGTGAATGTAGGTTACGCTTTTTGCAAAGAAAATTATCATATTAATTAAAAAATTTAAAAATATGAATCGAAATAATAAGATGATGATTATTAATTTGCCATCCTCTAAAATGAGGATTAAAAGAAAACTTATCTAATCAATAAAAACAAATTATGATTTCGTTTAAGTTTTTAATTGCTTAATGATCTCAGATTGTATTTCATGTCTTCACAATTACTAAAAAAATGAATCTTTTTGTATTGAATGTTAAGATAGATATTATTCAGCAGTTTTTTCAGGGTCATGTATTTAATGTGGATAAATTTGCAAGACTTGCATTTAATAAAATTAAAAATATAGAGATTATTGGAAATGGAGTATTAAAACATTTTATAAATTTGTTATTAATAATAATAATGATCCATCATTATGCATCAACTAATTCTGAATCGGAGTTGAATTTAGTATGAGCATCATTTTACTATGGATACATTTTATATGATTAAAAATGCATACAAGATTGTGATAAAACTTGGAATAAATGTGAAATAATTTACGGAAAAGCAACATGTATTTAATGCTTAGAAACTATTTCTGGTTTGATTAAAAGTTAAAATGAATGGAACCTATTTGTAATACCCTTCTAATTGTAAGGCCTGTATAGATAGGAGTGAATTAGAATTAAAATAATTTAATCCCTACTTTATTTTAATGAATAAAAATAAATTTCAAACTAGAATATGTTATGAAAAATCATAAGCTATCAATACCTAAGAAAAATATTATTATGATTCATTTACATAAACAATAGTAGTTTGTAACAAATATTAACAATGTTATAATAAAATTATTATACATTAAAACCTTCATTGCGATTCTTCAACTTATTATGAATAATCTGAATAATCAAATGATGAATATTTTGAAAAAAAGAATGTATTATTTTTCAGATTTTTTAGTTAAGGATATTTAGAAAGTCTAGAGACATCTTAACTTTTTGATTATCAAAAAGATATTTCTCTAAGGCACATTTAATTTGAATATACCATAATTCAAGTTCAAAATTTATCATGCCTATTTTGATGAAGACCTATAGATTTTCTCAAAATTAGCAATAGCATGTTTTTTCCTTATAATAAATTGATATTAAATTCAAACGAATATTATTAGATTCACCCAATCCAATAACTTTATCAATCAGTTCTAAATTAACTTTTAAGAACTATACAATAATAAGTTTTTAAAATATCAATTTGGTATTAGGAGGAATTAAATTCCTTCACTAGTAACTCCATAATATCTATCTATAATTTAAAAAAACAAAATGGATCTGAATCTAATACACTGTTCATTTGAATATGTTAATTATATACAAACTGAAAAAATATTCAAAATTAGTCAATATTACTTATTCCTTATATTAAAGAAACTTCCTAATTAGCGAATTAAAATTATATTAACCTGATATTTATACTTTTATTTCCCAAAATAATCTTCCTTAATATTAGGTTTAAATATCCAACATGACAATTATAGACCCCATATTTATTAATTCAACATTATTCAAATTCTAAACTAATAATTAATTATCTTCAATATTAATCTAGCTTAATAAATATTAGGATTATTGATACTACATTCATTTCCTCTAACTTTTTCATACGTAGTGGTTTATTGGATTACATTATCGGAATTTTTAAAATTCATTAAATATCTTTGTAAAATGTTGAGATTTTGAACAATTCAAGTATTTTCTCTATACCGATGATCAAATCAGCTATTATTTCTTCTTTAAGTTTAACAAATTCTCAACTTAAAGATAACTGATAATTGTATTCAAGTAATGTGATAAATTTATAAGATTTTCTTATAGATCAAACAATTATAGAGTTAAGTAGCTTAATACATAATAAAGTTGAATATCCTAAATCTTAAGTAGCTTTAAATTAATCTAAGAAAGTCCTTATAAAGAATTTATATATTTTAAATACTAATGATAATAATAAATAGTAAATTATAAGTATTTTGAAGTAGAATGAAATAGATTAGTCAAAGTTTAATTTAACTAATTTCATAATGTAAAATTGCATATCAAACACAAAACTTGAAGGTTTCTTTTGATTAAGTGATGATATATATTGGCTGTTAACTTTGTAATTTATAAGAAGTATAAATACAAAGAGGTT